ACATGTAGGCAATAGTACATGTAGGCAATCGAACTGTAGGCAATAATACATGTAGGCAATCGATCTGTAGGCAACAGAACATGTAGGCAATCGATTTGTAGGCAAATGGGATGTAGGCAAACGGTACTGTAGGCAATCGATTTGTAGGCAAAAGCAACCCTCTCGTGTTATGTAAAAAATTGTAATTTTTATTTTTTTTATTTAGATTTGTGGTCTACTAAACACCATTTTATATATTTTCAACGCGATCATCACCTGTATTACAATATGGTTGAAGTAATTAATCCTCTTGATGTCAAACTCTGTAATATGGTTTATACTGATGCCGGGTGTATGAGACCCACTTAATTTATATTGACTAAAAATATTAATTAATTTTTAAGAATCAAAATGTTATAACTATAAAAGAAGAATAAGTGCTAAGTTTATGTTTGTAACACTAATTTAAATTACTTATAATTGAGGAAGACCGATAAATCTACCATCAATTTTGGAAGGTTGAAATAATTGCGATTAGGAAGAGTGAAAATGAATAGTATTATTATACAAGTTGTAGTACTTTATAACTTGAATTTGTCTATCTTAGAAACTTTATTTATTTGAATCGATATGCAAAAATATATGTTATTGTTATACAATAAATCTTGACTGTTGAATTAAATTTGATACTTGATGTGTGTTTATTCAATTTAATTAGTACTATTCTATAACACAAGTTGTATTGTTTTACAACTCTCTAAAACTTTTAAAGTGAATCTCACTTTGAACAGTGAAATGTTATTCTTAAAAGTTGAAAGTTAAACTACTCTTTTTAAAGACTGGCTCAATTTTTACTCCTTATAGTGAAACTTTACTCCAAAAAATTGAGAGAGAAGCTGAACTATGAGAAAGAATGTTCATACATAGGTCGTCTGAAAAGTTTTGAGCCTCAACATGAAGATGGCATTACTCGTTAAAACAATTTTGGTACTATAATCGCACGTACTTTGAAAGATACCTGCGAAAATTGTAGCTACTTCCGGTTAGTTGTTGTTTGATAGTCATTTGTGCCAGTCAATGTCAATATTTTTATAAAAATGGAAAAAATCGAATATCAGCAGTCGCCATGATAAAAATTTACGAATTGCGGTTCGAATTAATTGACCATCCACCGTATTCACCAGATCTGGCCCCCAGCGACTTTTTTCTGTTTCCTAGGCTCAAAATTTAGCTCGGAGGACAGAAACTTTCATCAAACGAGGTCATCGCATCCGTAGACGCCTATTTTGCAAAGTAAGACGCTCAGTATTATTTGAATGAATTAAAGGGGTGGGAGCATCGTTGGAAAAAATGTATCAACTTAAAAGGAGACTATATGGAAAAATAAAATTGAATTTGACCGAAAAATTACTTGTTTCTATGTTAGGCTCAAAACTTTTCAGACGACCCTCGTATATCTTAGAAACCTTATTTATTTGAATCAATGTGCAAAAGCATACAATAAATCTTGACAGTTGAACTACATTTGATAAGTACTTGGCACTTATTCACTTTAATTAATTTTTTTTAAAACATTAATTAGTATGTCAAATATTTTTTTAATAAACATGTAATTATATGTGAAATTAAAAAAAATGTTAACATTAATTTTTCTTTATAATCTCTGGTGAAAAAATTTCGCTGAAATTATTCTACGTTTTGGAATATTTCAGCGAAATTGCTGAAAATTTGCTGAAATTTCACTGAAAGTTAATTTTTCAGCTAATATATTGAAAAATCGTTGAAATTTCTCTGAAATTGAAATGAAATTTCTTTGAAATTTTTATTAAAATTTTGCTGAAAATGAATTTTTCAATTAAAAATCTTAAATTAAACTGAAATTTTTCTAAAATGCTGAAATTTTGCTGAAAAATGTTCCAAAACGTAAAATAATTTCAGCGAAATTTTTCCATCAGGGATGTAAATAACATTTTATAAAAATTAGAATACATTATACATTAATATTGTTATCTTTCATTCAAGTTTTTTTTGCGTTTCTGTCAGCTACGCAGAGCAGGCAAAGCATTCAGAATTCTGGCATGAGTAACACATGCCAGAAATAGACAGTAATTTCCTTGTGTTGAATGCTATGTGGGGGGTGCAACGACATTCAGACTTTGTGAATGCACAGATCTACACCCTTAGTCAGTTTAAAAGTATCACTTGTCATGGTCATGCTATATGTTCTTCTAAAAATCACTATCAGAGAACAAAAAAAGTTAAACATTAAATACAATTAAGTTGTAAATTAAATTGTAACAAATTTAAATCTTTTGGTATGTACAATGTTATCTTCACATTCTTTTACTTATATTAAAGATATTTTAATTGCTACACTAAAAGATATTATTTGAAAAAAAATATTATTTTGTGTGTAAGTGGACCATTGTGTACGAGATAATTAAATTTAATTATTCATTTAATTATCCCGGACGAAGAGAAAAAAAAGGAGGATAATTAAATACTAAGTGAAGAGATAATAAAAAGCATCAGATCATAAACGAGACAATTTAACGAACGTCACAATTCAGTACAGGAGCATTAAATCAATTGTCTACAATCTACAATCATAGGCACGAACAATATGGGACCTATAATCAGAATGTCATCCTCTGGTACACACGGTGCGGGCGGTGTCAGTTGCTGCTGCTGTAGATGTTGTACGTGCATACACGTGGAGTTCTTTAAATCATTGCCAGGAATCATAAAAGTTTGTGAAACGGTAGGTTGCAGTTACACTTATATTATTTGGAAATACGCAAAGATCGTTAAAATTATAAATGGTATATAACGTGGAATATAATATCCTTATATTCTTTTCACTACTAACTTATTTTTTTCTTTTTTCTCGCTTTATCTCTCTTATCTATCTATTATTTATTTTGCTTTAAATTAAAAAATTTTTAGGGATTTAAAGCAATACGAATAGATTCAATAAGTCAACTTCACGCTTTCTAAGGAAAGCCATAAATTTTTTTATTACTGCATATTTCCTCTCACTTTTACAACATATTAAACATTTACCTATTTCACTTTAAGTGTAAAGAGTATATATTAGAGACCAGCTGTAAAAGTAGACTTGGTTTAAGTATAATATCATTAGATTAAATACTCCAATAGGTTTTTTACTTATTCTTTGTATTAAATTTTTTGAAAACTACATAATTCTATCGATGTCCATTGAATATACATTGTATACAACTTTTAAATATATAATTACAATTTTATAACGTTTATATAATTAATATAATTCCAGGTAATCAGTGGATTAATTCAGAGCTTGCTTATAAATTATGGCTTAGGCTACAGTTCATCTATTGGATCAGCTTTTGAAGGATCATTGACCACGGCATCCGCTTGCTTCCTGATTTCCGCTCTGTTACTCGCTTGCTATACAACTTCTGAAAAATCTTACAAATTAATTCGAGCTTCACTTTTTGTATGTATTTATCTATATCTCAAATAATAATGAAATATTAAGGGGAGACCCCATCCCTGGCATCCAAAAATCAGTTCGAATTTTGTGAATTTTTTAGGGAAAAATGAATAACTTAATTGAAAAACCAAAAAAAAAAAAAATTAGAGGGTTTTATTATTATACATATTTTCTAGGCGTCTGTGAAATTAGCACCCCAACATTGAAATTCCATAGTTCTGATTAGAGTTCCCGTTTCCTTTCGTCGAGACGAAGAGTTCTGTGTATAATTTATAACAAGAGTTCCGCTTAATATCTATTTTTAAATAATTTTTTAAAATGGGGTGCTAACTTCTCAACAAAATTCGAGATCGAAAAGTTCTGAGCGGCTCAATAGCTTCATTTCACGAATACCTAGAGTTCCTGATGTAAAAGAAAATTTTGAAAAATCAATTTTTAGATACAATAGTTCTGATTAGAGTTCCTGCTTCCTTTTAACGAGACGAAGAGTTCTGTGTACTTTTTAATGCGAGATTCCGTTAATAACAACTGTTAAATAATTTTTAAAAGATGGGGTGCTAACTTCACAGCGAAATTCGAAATCAAAGAAATCTGAGCAGCTTAATAGCTTTATTTTGTGAATATCTAGAGTTCCTGATACATAAAAAACAATTTTGACAAACAAAAAAATTTCTTAAAAAAAATAAAGAATTTTTTATCACTTCTTGAACTTCGCGTATCTTGAAAACCGTTAGTCCAATCGCTTTGTCACCTCATATTTTTCGATAGAACTTGTTGAAAACTACCCGAAACGATAATCAGAACTACTGGCACTTTCAAAAAATAATTTTATCACACATTGAATTTCACGTATCTTGAAAATCGTTGGTTCAATAGCTTTGTCACCTGATTCATTTCTATAGAACACGTAAAGAACTGCTCAAAACGATAATCAGAACTACTGCCACTCTCAAAAAATTTTTCGGAGTCAGACTTAAAAAATTTTCATCGATGGAATTCAAATGTCGCGTATTTTGAAAATCGTTCGTCCAATCGCTTTGTCACATGATATTTTACAATAGAACTCGTCGAGAACTGTCCAAAACGATAATCAGAACTACTGGCAATCTAAAAAAATATTTTAATCACTTTTTGAATTTCACATATCTAGAAAATCGTTGGTCCAATCGTTTTGTCACCTCATACTTTTCGATAGAACTAGTCGAGAACTACCGAAAACGATAATCAGAACTACTGGAACTCTTAAAAATATTTTTTAAGATTGCCAGTAGTTCTGATTGGAGTTCTTTGTAGCTCTCGATGGGCCCTGTCGAAAAGTATCAGGTGACAAAACGATTGGACCAATGATTTTCAAGATAAGCAAAATTTAAACTCTATCGTTGAAAATATTCCAAGTCGGATGCCGAAAAATTTTTTGAGAGTGCCAGTAGTTGTGATTATCGTTTTGAGCAGTACTCGACGAGTTTCAACGAAAAGTATCTGGTAACAAAGCGATTGGACGAACGGTTTTCAAGATACGCAACATTTGAGGCCTATCGTTGAAAACTTTCTAAGTACTACGCCGAAAAATTTTTTGAGAGTGCCAGTAGTACTGATTAGATTTCTGTGTAGTTGTCGACGAGTTCTGTCGAAAAGTATCAGGTGACAAAGCGATTGGACGAACGGTTTTCAAGATACACGACATTTTAACACTCGTTGAAAACTTTCCAAGTCCGATGCCGAAAAATTTTTTGAGAGTGACAATAGTTTTGATTATCGTTTTTGGCAGTTCTCGACGAGGTCTATCGAAAAATATCAAGTGAAAAAGCGATTGGACCAACGGTTTTCAAGATACGCGACATTTGAGCAGTATTGTTGAAAATTTTCCAAGTCGGATGACGAAAAATTTTTTCAATTAGTTTCAATTAGTTCTGATTATCGTTTTGGGCAGTTCTCGACGAGTTCTATCGAAAACTCTCAGGTGACAAAGCGATTGCTCCAACGGTTTTCAAAATACGCGACATTTGATGTCTATCGTTGGAAATTTTACAAGTCCGACGCCAAAAAACTTTTTGAGAGTGGCAGTAGTTCTGATTAGAGATCTGTGTAGTTCTCGACGAGTTCTATCGAAATGTATGAGATGATAAAGCGATTGCACCAATGATTTTTAAGATACACGACATTTGGTTTCTATAGTTGAAAACATTCAATGTACGAGGCCAAAAATTTTTTGAGAGTGGCGTTAGTTCTGATTATTGTTTTGGCCAGTTCTCGACGTGTTCTATCGAAAAATATTAGGTAACAAAGCGATTGGATCAATGGTTTTCAAGATACGCGACATTTGATCACTATCGTTGAAAACTTTCCAAGTCGACGCCGAAAAATTTTTTAAGAGTGGCAGTAGTTTTAATTAGAGTTCTGTGTAGTTCTCTATGAGTTCTATCGAAAAGTATTAGGTGACAAAGTGATTTGACCAACGATTTTCAAAATATCTGGAATTCAAAAAATGATCAAAAATTTTTTGAGAGTGGCAGTAGTTCTGATTATCGTTTTGAGCAGTTCTTTACGTGTTCTATAGAAATGAATCAGGTGACAAAGCTATTGAACCAACGATTTTCAAGATACGTGAAATTCAATGTGTGATAAAATTATTTTTTGAAAGTGCCAGTAGTTCTGATTATCGTTTCGGGTAGTTTTCAACAAGTTCTATCGAAAAATATGAGGTGACAAAGCGATTGGACTAACGGTTTTCAAGATACGCGAAGTTCAAGAAGTGATAAAAAATTCTTTATTTTTTTTAAGAAATTTTTTTGTTTGTCAAAATTGTTTTTTATGTATCAGGAACTCTAGATATTCACAAAATAAAGCTATTAAGCTGCTCAGATTTCTTTGATTTCGAATTTCGCTGTGAAGTTAGCACCCCATCTTTTAAAAATTATTTAACAGTTGTTATTAACGGAATCTCGCATTAAAAAGTACACAGAACTCTTCGTCTCGTTAAAAGGAAGCAGGAACTCTAATCAGAACTATTGTATCTAAAGATTGATTTTTCAAAAATTTTTTTTCAATTTTTCAAAATTTTTTTGCATCAGTAACTCTTGGTATTCACGAAATGAAGCTATTGATCCGCTCGGAACTATTGGATCTCGAATTTCGGTGAGAAGTTATCACCTTATTTTTAAAAAATTATTTAAAAATAGTTATTAAGCGGAATTCTTGTTATAAATTATAGAGAACTCTTCGTTTCGACGAAAGGAAACGGGAACTCTAATCAAAACTATGGAATTCAATGTTAAAGTGCTAACTTCACAGACGCATTTTCTAGTTTAGAAAATAATTTTTTCATTTCGCTTGAACGACAAATTGGCGGTTTCCTAATCCAATTATGGGAACACTTTTCGTGAGACGAGTCTAAGCGGTGTACATGATTTTGTTAAAATGGTGCAATCTATTCAAAGTAAAAAAAAGCAGCATCATTTTCGCTATTATTGTTATCGGCTGACGTAGGAATTTTTTAAAATATTGTTTTCTCTTGAAATAGCAATAGTTTGAAAAATAGTTGCAGTTTTTTTCGAAAATAAAAAATCGTCTTTAATTTTCGATTAAAAAAGAACTACATAATATTTACCTTAAGTGTTACGTCAACCGATAAAGAATATTGCTATACATATTTTTTTAAATTTGAAGTTAATCGAATGAAAATTTTTTGAGTTATCATGTACACCGATAAATGCAGTTTTGAGAAAAACGCGTTTAAAGTGGAGCGTGCGCTTTCTTGATGTTTACTAATGGCGTCACTCTCACACTGAAACCGACGCTGAAATTGCTCAAATTGGATTTAGTACAAGTTATGACATCTATAAATGGCTTCTAGAACTCATATTATATTTTGATGGGTACATAGTTCTGTATACCTGCAGGACCCGAGAGGATTATAAAAAAGGCGAAGCCGTTCCGACTTGCCGCAGATGAAATTCACTTTCTCGATCACTTTGACTTTAATTTTCGCTTCCGAATCATTTTTCTCGTATTCTTAAGGGTTCAAACTAATGATTAAAGCAATTAAAAAAATTTCGGTTTTTTGAAACCTCAGAGGTGGGGTGGCCCTTAAAAACAAAGAGATCACAAATAATCCCATTATCTAAATTGTTTGAAATAATTACTTGTTAATATGTCAATGTTTATACTTTTTACATAATTTAAATAATATTTATTTTTTTTCTTTTATCAATGTCAGGAAACGATGTTCAATTGTTTAGCCTGTTTCCTGTATTTAAGTTCAGCACTTTACTTGGCTTTTGCCACTAAATTATTTCTGATGATCCCGTATTATATGAGCCCCGGCTTCGACGTTTATCCTGCCATGACAGCCACTTATGTAAGTTTATTAGTGCAATTGCAAATGGAGTACTTAACGCTTTCACTAATTTGCGTCATTGTTCACCTAGCCAGAGAATAAGAATTGAGAAAAAGAATATATAGTATTATAATAATTTATAATTTATAATAATAATTTGATTTATAATAATTCGACATGACATATCTGTATGTTGAACAGCAGAAAACGAAAGTTTATTAGTTAGAAACCGACTAATATTGATTTTGATATAGATATTTTTAATCGGGAGTATTTTATTTGAAAAGGCATTAAAAGTAATTGATTTGTATTGCAGATTCTAAGTGGCATCGTGGGATTATTGCATGGAGCAGATGCTTATTTGTCCTATGTGCATTACAAAACTGGAAGATGAATTATGATAATTACAGGAATATTAACTGTATATAATTTTGCAATGAGACGTGGCAATTATACATATAATTATCTACACTGTTAGTAATGTTAATTCTGGAACACGAATCTCTTCGAAAAAGATTTAAATATTAGATTGGGCATCGATTTTATGATTTAATAATATATTAATATTATAAAATATTAATTATAAGCTATAATAATAGTTACTAATTAATAGTATTATTTAACTTAATTATAAGTAGCATTATTACACTGCCATTAGTAATGTCAATAAGTTATATATACATTTAGTTATAACAGGTTAATAATTTGAAATTGCGCATATTACTCTGCCATTTCCCCATAAATTTTTTTGAATAAAGACATATTAGTTAATTAAATATGATAAGCCGAAATCAAATCGATTGTATGGATTATATGAAATCGTAGCATCTATTTGCAGTATTGCTTATCAATTTGAGGCGTATCTTACGTATACTTACTAAATCAATTCCGTCGATATTTGGTACATCATAGTGCTGTCGCATTTATGTGCATGATAAAATGGATATTTAACAAATAATCTATGATTCATTTTGAGACTTATTTAGTTTTATTACGTTAATGTATATATGATATGAAATAAAAACATCGATAAGAAATATGATGAGAATATTCAATTAGTCACTTTGACATATTGTTTCCAAATATTAACAAACTGCATTTTTGAAAGAATCAAATCTGAAATTAATAATAGTTAAAATATACCAGACAACAAATAATATCTTATTATATGTGAGTAGTATTTAATAACAATTATATTAAATGAGATTTTTTATAAAAATTGTCGCGTACATGTAAAAGTATTATTAATTCTATCAGAAAGTGAATATTTGTAATTTACACTTGCAAATACATATAATCAAATATAATTTATTTTTATATTTATTTATTGTTATAATTTACAATTGTAAGAAATAGATAAAACTTGAAGAATATATTTAATATAATTATTTTACCAAAGTATTAATAAATTTAGAAAACGATTTCAATTAATGAATTTAGTTTCTTCTACACGAAAGCCGCGTTTACATTTTTATTATTAGTTGTGCCACGTTCCTTTTTATTACAGACTGTACGAAGAGTTTCAACTCGTACCAGGATACACCTGGACCCGGGATGGTGAATGAGAATGACACGGATCTCATGGTCCTCGTGAAGTATCTCTCTCTCTCCCCCCCCCTCTCTCTCTCTCTCTCTCTGCCCCTTTCAGATCTTGCACACACACGCGTCCATTTCACTTCCTCAAGTGTCCTCCCCCTTCTTTACAGTCACTGTGTTCTTCTTTTCCTTGCTCCGACCGGCGTTCAGCCTTCCCTTCCGTCGCTCTCATTGGCGCCTCGACGAGCATATCACTCGACCGCATACGTACAGCTGACAGTTTACCTCAAAATCTCGATCCGATTAACACGTTAGGGAATTCGGAAAAACTCGAAACCGTATTTATTCGATTCCTGATACTCCGTTAACCTGAATAACGTGAGACAAAAAGTAAAAGAAATTAGAGACTGTTTTTTTTATTGACAAAGAAGAAGTGCGACGAAGGATGGAAGCACACGTTAGAAATGTGAATGACAGCATAAACACTGCACCGACAGAAGGTAGTAAAAATAATTAAAGAGTATTCTATATTACTCTGTTTAACGATGATTTTAATTATTAGTTATAAAAATTGAAGTTGCGGAGTTTTCTGATATCGTGTATTAAATGAGTGTAAATAAAAGTGTAAATTTATATAAATACTGCTAATCATTACAAAATGTGTTTATTTACCAAATTAAATAAATGTTTAATAAATAAATAATTAATTAAATACTTAAAGTATTAAACTAACCACAAATTCTATGGATTTATGTACAGCAATCATTATTGTGGCAAAAAATGAGGATAATAATGTGAAATAACAATATTTGAAATCTCTCGAAGAAAATATTTATTAAAGATAAATCTAAATTTTCACTCAAGCGACTTAGAGAAAGCTTTCTATCATATCGAAAAGTTTAAGAAATGCTAGCCGAGATAAAGGCATATGTATTTCTTCAATACATATATGATAAACAGCTATTTATAATAATGTTCAATATTTCAATTGTATGCGCGGATATACATCTCTAAGTGTGTTCAGTTATTGTACCGTTATAAAAACAGTAAAGAGAACGAATGCCTGTTTTGCTTTGAAAATATTGGTATTCTCGTTAACAGGACAGCTGTCATTGCGAACTAACAACAAAGTTGCATAATGCACATGCTTATGTAGATGTTAGGCCTGTTCTTTTTGGCTGAACTTTTGCACCACTTCATCTTTCTTCCTTTTCTCTCTAGGAGGAAAGAAGGTGCAAAAGTTCAGCCAAAAAGAAAAGTCCTGTTATTACATTTATCAAATGACAGTCACGGCCGCATAATTATAAAATTGCTTATGTCTTATTAATTTTTCAATCAATCTTAATATCAATTCTTTGTTCTTCATTATTTAATCGATCTTTTTAAATTGTCACAATAATTTCTAATATTTTATCCGATATACGATGGTACACGATAATATTATTACAAAATCTTAAGAAGGTTAATATGCAAAGTTAGTGAAAACTCATGAATCAATGAAAGTAAACATTTGTAATAACTGATGTAAATAGATTCTCATTTTCACTGTTTTGTAAATTTAATTCATTTAATGAACATTATCAAATTCAAAAACATGAAAAAAATATGTATTAGATGTTAATGCACTGTGTATTTGTCACCAACAATCAAAGATATGGAATCGTGATATGACAACGAATGCTAGCGATGCAAAATGTGGAGACTGAAGAAAGGAAAAACTAACGTAAGAACTTGGAGAGTAATCCATACTAGACAAAGCAAGATAGCATTCAGCATTCGCAAGATCTCTAATTAATCCTCACCGAGACCTTGAGAGACTAGTAACTTGCCATGGGTATAACGAATCGGATTGTCAATGAATTGGATATACGCGTGCGAGCATTCCGATAAATGAACCCAGTGTTGAGTGGTGTTGTACATTGTGGAATTGCAACACGTAAGTCTCATGCCGATGTTGCGATCTGAGTTGAGAAAGCTGACAAGTAATGGCCGCGAAAGTGACTCGAATAAAAACCGGTGACTCGATGAGATAAATTTTGTGAAGACGCAGCTGAACGAGAAATCCCACTTTGGAAAAACGCCGCCGTATATATGTATATGAGCCTACTTTGCGACATCTGTTCAACAATTTTGAAAATTGCTATATTATTTCTTTATTTTTTAATAGTTATGAACTCTTTGCGTAAATACGTATTTAATTTATATACCTTTGTCTATCGAAAAAATTATTTATATATAACCTTTTTAACATCTTTTGAGAAAAATTTACTTAAATTGATGTATTTTTTGGCCTCTTAGATGTATGTAGCTTTTTTTTAAATACTATACAATCAAATTATTGCTGTAAAAAAACGAAATATACTATTTAGGTCAAATGCACTCATAAACGACATCAAGCGAAACATAATGTCACGATAAAATGCAATTATGCAAAATTTTTTAAATACTATAATTTTTTTAAATATCATAATTTTTATTCAAATGCATTTTCCTTAGTTTTTATGCGCGTTCAGCTTATTTTTAAAAAAGATAAATTTGTATGCTTTTACATCTTTAAATGCTTTAAAATAGACTAAGCCTTCTGTGAAGAATCTTGCCTTTCACTAACAATTTATTTTTTTTAACGTACATTCAGCTTTAAAGATAAATAAGTAATTAAGTATAAGAAAGCGAGACTTATGGAAATCAATGAGTTCTGGCAGACGTAATGTGTATTGTTCATGGTATTAATATATGTTTATGGTTCGATAAAAAGAATCCTTTTTTATATTTGCTCTTTTTTGTTGCAAATCACAAAAATATCAAAATTGTTTATCACGCGGACAGATCTGATTTGCAGTTAATATGTACAAAATTCCTATAAGCGTGCATTTATTATCGGACGATCAGCAAACTAACTAAAATATTGGTTGATCAACACACAAGGGTGACAATAACAAATTCATCTGATCTCACATTGTATAATAAGAAAGTATAAGCGTTCAAAATTTCATGTTCCTCAACTTTTGAATTGGACATTTTAATGTAACAAATCTTTCGTAATTTACGTAAAGCTTAACGGGAGGAATAATAGAAATAAAATGTTAACTTTAATCTTAATTTTTTCTAAATATAGCTTTGACTATATTTTTTGTACACTATATCAAATCCGAGATTTATAGTATCATCGTTTTACTTTAATAGTATTTTAAATGTGTAATTTATTTATACACTGAGAAAAATGTTTGATTGCATTAATTGGAATTTTGATTGAAAATAGACGAATCAAAATTTTCTAGTTAAACCTACAAAAATTTTAATTGAGGTAATTGGAATTTTGATTGATACAATCAGAATTTTCGTCGATTTTCAATCAGACATTTTTCTCAGTACAATAATAAATAAAAATTAAGGTAACACGTGAAATTTATCGGAATTAGAGCAACATGATTTCAACGAACAAACACAAGCATGCAGCATAGCGGAAACGCCTCTCGTCTAAGGTTGCTCATTTCTGATTAATGTGACATATCAACACATTGAGAGCACCTTTCTCTAGGAAGCAAAATAATTCTGTTAATAACCCACAAAAGACTGTTACGCGATAGTGAACAGAAAGATTGAAAATTGTAGACAAGCATGCTCAATCTACGTAAAACTAATTCATACAAAAATTCTTGAGAAGAATATTACTTTTACATATAATAGAATTAACAAGGAAAGGCACGGAAATGTCGTTCTCTGATTTTGACGAGCTTGTAATATGTTATTCTCCAGACAAAAATAAGCGACACGTATTTTTTTATATGTGCCCATACGCACTTTTAGGGGGTGAAACACCTTTTAGAAAAAAATCGGTTTTTCTCTTTCGAAGCGAATATCGTCGGAACTATAAGAGATAGAAAAAAATTTTCAGAATAAAAATTGAATGGCTTCAAGAGTACTTTAGAACTATAATAAACAATTTTTTTAATTTTTTATTTATAATAAAAATTGTTTATTTATAAAGAAAAACATTTTTTTATTATATTTCTAAAGTATTCTTAATGCCATTCAATTTTCATTATGAACATCTTTTACAATTCCGGCGATATTCGCTTCGAAAGAGAAAAACCGATTTTTTTCTAAAGAGTGTTTTACCCCCTAAAAGTGTGTTTGGGTATGTATAACAAAATACATGTCGCTTATTTTTGTTTGGAGAATAACATATTACAAGATTGTCAAAATCGGAGGACGACACTTCTGTACCTTTCCTTGTAAGAAAAACTGTCTATACTTCATCAGCAAATATAAGCTTATCAAAATATTTTATCGTTTGTTTCCGATATAAACGTTAAGTAAATTTAATATTAAAATTTCAAATAATTAAATTAATTAAATATATATCGTATATAATAAATTAAATTATATAATTAAATGAAGCATATTAATATAAGTTAAACATAAATTTAATTAATTATTAATTGTATAAAATAAAAAAATATGTAGAATTATTTAGTACATTGAAGTTGATTGATTCTAAAAATTTATACGATAGAATTATCGGTTGTTTAAATTATCAATGCCACAATCGTAGAACACATTTTTTATGTCCATTGCACGTTCGCATAAAAGACACGGTGCTATTATCGGATATCACGTCACTGTATGATCCTTGACGTTTCATCACCGGCATGTTTTCCTGTCTCTAGGTACATTCAGTCCTTTTCCAATGAATATAATAAAAATGTTTACTAGTTAAAAAATATCCACAGAGCAGCCTTTATCATCGCTCATAACTTTTGCATTTTTATCAATACAAATACGAGCTGCTCATTTTTAACGTTCTTTTTAGTGTTATCTTTCTAGTGTTATCTTTTATTAAGAATTTAAAATAAAGTAGGAAATATTTATATTATGTCAACCACAATGAATTTATTCACACGGGATAAAACAAAAATTCGTGTGAAACAAATGACTTCTCGTATAATGTAAAGCATGCAGGGCTGTGCATGTATTTGAAATACTTTTATTTGAAAAACATTACTTGTAAGACAATTGTTTTTAATATTTTGTATTTAATATTTTATCGGAGTACATAAAAATATTTTGTATTTTAGATTATTAATGAAAAATTTAAAGTATTTCATATTTTGTATTTTAAATCTGATTGACAATTAATCTTATTTGAATTATAAAATACAAAAAACTTTCAATCTTTCGATATTTAAATAAAAAGTACACAATACTTTCACGTGCTCTGTTAAAGTATAACAAAATACAAAATACACTTGTATTGCAAATAATATGTTTTAAATGAAAGTATTCCAAATACATGCCCAACCTTGAAAGCATTGCCAAACGTTTCTTAAATGATTCTTTCAGCGTACATGCCTACGTCAAAAGCATCCTTCACTGTCGAGGAAGAGGACACATTTGTGACGTTGATAGTTGTTGTGTTCGGCATCATCGTTGCCATGGTGGTGCTGTTCTCGATGGGTATTCTTATAGACTGCAGACACCAGTACGTTAATAATGATCCTTTTTTAAAAAATTTGCATTATTTTAATTAAACAATTTTGGCAAATAACAGTAAAGATGTTGTTCATTAGTATGTGCAACAGAAAACTCTCTTATTCAGATGGTGTAAACTTAAACTATATTCATATATTCACGTTACAAAAAAGCATTTTATAGAACGAGACTGTATGTGTATGTGAAATTAATTATTAATTATCATTACAACGGACGTTATTGCAGGGCAAAAGATTCTATGAAGAGAAAAAAACTGAGACTGAAAATGCTGCCGTTTGCACGAAGAGGCCGGAAAGATGACGTGAAAGCCTTAACTTCAAATATGTATCCCAACGGCGTTACTGGGTCCAAGGAGAGGGATGCTGTAGTTTGATATTCGGAAGAATTATGAAAAATTCGTAAGAATTACGATAGATATTTCATAAAGACTTTATAAAAATTTAAGATTTGCGAGTGTTATGAACTTTTAGTATTTAATATTGAAAAGTGTGGAAGTATGTTCGAACTCTTCCTTACAAGGGGAGAGAATACAGTGGATTCTTTACAGATTTGATCTCCTTTAACGTAGTAATTGGTAAACCTACATAAAAAATAAGTTATGCCGTGTCCGAGCGTTTTATTGAATAGGCCTTACAATAAATAGTATTTTTTACTGTATAAGAGGACCTCACATTAATTATATAGGCATAACTTATTTTTTATATAAATTTATCATTTATCTAAAGGAAAACGAAATCTTTGAAGAATCTACTGTGTTCTCTCCTTAGTTATCATTTTCAAAAAGATATGCTTATTATTATTTATGAAAGGTATGTGATTTCATGGTACGCATTTTGTAAACAGAGTTAATAAACTCGAAATAGTGGATACGACTTATAATTAATAATTCTTCGATGTCACACTATACGTTTTGTCAGGGAAATAGCACTGGATATTATGTAAAAATGTTGCATAAATAAATGATTGTAACGAGTTTTTCTCCAATCAAAACGCCAGATGTTAAAGAATACAAGAAGCAAAATATCTTTATTAATAAAAAAATTATAGCAGATATATAATGTAAGAGACACAATCAAGTATGCTATATTGAGAGTGGTATCAAAGGATTACAATTATGAGTAATACACTTATCTTCCGTAATAAGTAGTGTATTTAGACAACTAATTCAGATAACATAAACAAAATAGTCTCGAATGTTATTTTTTGAAAAAATGCTGCTTTTAATAAAATAAGATGACGTCAATATCAGTAAGCAGCATTCTTTACGCTCGCATTTTGGTCAGAATGTGTAGTTCCTCAAACACAGGATGTATTGGAGAACACGCTCAATATATGCAAATCCTCAATATCGCTCGTATGTGCCCTTTCTTCACTCTCGATAAATTCCAATTCACGTATACAATAAAATAAAACTATAAATGTATATTAAATAAAAATTAAAATATCCAAATAAATATAAAAATTTAGATATTACTGATCCGAATCTATCTTAAACTGTTGTAGAATACGTAAGATATTACTCACTGAGAATTTATGACATATGTTGTTTACTGTGATTTACAAATTATTATTTATTTAATTAAATTGTATTAAATAGCCGTATTTGCGATTATATCAAATCTGAACTTCCGACATTGCTAAAAACAATTAGCATTTAATTTCTTATAATTTAGAATCACATATTTTTAATAAAAGCTAATATAAGAAAGTAAAATTGTATATGAAAAAATTTGATATCAAATTACTATTTTATAAAATTTCGTCATAAAATATATTTTTTTTGTAATAATAAGTTAATGGTATTATTTGTGTGTAGAAATAAATGTATTCTTATACATTTAATTTAATATCAAAATTTGCTCACTATACTATTTTTTAAAATTGTTATTGATATAACTGCATAAATATTTTATAGTTGAGATATGAATATTAAATAAAAATAACGAATTATAATACTGATAATATTTATAGTCAAATATCACGAAGTATGATATTTTTATTGTTTTCTAGCTATATAATGTAACAAACAATTCAGTGTTGACAGGTTGTAAAAAATTTTTAACTACAGTATCTTTTATGGGGATCAGGTGCGAAAACATGTACATAAAACATGTACATAAAATTTTATGCTAAACTTAACTGTGATCTCAAAATATCTGTATTCTACTTACATTGCTAACATTGTAGGATATACCAATTACTTAAAAAAATATTTTTAAATAAAGTTAATTACCAGTTAAGCGTTTTTTACGCCAAAAGTACTATTTAATTGTTATAATTGAACCAACTGTGAAAGTTATGTTTATCTATAAATGAATATCATGTATTTTGCACATCATGTACATAAATATTAGGAATGTAATTAAAAGTTGTTTGTATATAAATTCATTTTGTCATTTTCTATTAGCTATTATCAACGCTGTTATTTTCATTAATTTTAATTAATTTTTCTATATATATATATATAAAATCTATAATTTAGATTCAGCTTAATAACAGTATACATTTTTTAAAAATATAACCAACTCATATACACACAAAACACATACACATACGCGAGCGTGCAAATTATGCATAGCATGCATTGTATACCATACACATCTTGTATACCACTTTCATATTTTATGTATAATATAATAAAAAATTCTTATGTATTTAAATGTGAAACATAGAGTTCGTTTAGGAAGGTGCTATTAGAGCTATTTATGTCATTCTATTTTCATCGTTTATTAGATGAAAACAAGGATAGAATGTCACAAATAGCACTAATAGCGTCTCTTCGAATGCACTCTATGTTTCATATTATTAAATACACAAGAATTTTTTTATTATCCTTGAATATTGTAGCCGAAACATATAATCTTGAGGTGTTATCAAATTTATTTATAGGCATTTATTTGTAAGCATTTAAATTAATTATGTAATTTATATTTCTTATCTTTTATATATGAATTTCGTATCTTTAATTATATAATTAAATATATGAAATCGTAGAAAAATGTTGAAAATACGGATTTATTAAGAATCAATGAGTTTAAAAATTCATACGTTTTTGTGCAGCCAATTCTTCTGAGCAATGCAACAGTTTAAAGAAAAAAATTTCGTCTTATATTTTTCAAAGTATATCTTCAACATCCGTCATTTTGTAAAATAGTTTCTGTAACTCAATTTTGATTTTCTTAGTTATCAAGAGAAATGTTCAAGCTTTAATTTAAGTTTTGGTTCATCTCAATGCGATGATTTTTCATTATCGTTATTCGAAAATATTAAAAATTTGTGCTAAAATTTAATGCTCCGTTTTTTTGCCGGTAAGTGTAATTACCCAAGTAACAAATCAATAAAATTTGGCATTGTTATGAAATTTACACTTGAAAACGTACTTTTGTGAGTGCCAGACCATCATGGTCTAATTAAATTTGATTTGTTATACTTAATGTGCCTCAAATTAAAAAAGTTGAAAGACATATATGTCTTTCAACTTATACTGGTATATAGTACTGAAATGTCTAATATATAATACTGAAAAGATCCGATAAAAATACACATTAGCATATTTTCTGATATAAATCTTCAATCTTTAAAAATATAAAAAATTGGAAAATTGTTATACAGAATAAATTTTTATATGTTTTATAATGCATTTTGTATGTATTTTATATGGAACTCTTATATGCGTTTTATACCGTTAAAATACATATTACTAATTATTATTATTAATATAAAAAGTTCAAAGAAATATACAAAATTGGGAAAATTTTGTGGTGTAAAACTATTGCCATTTGGCGCTCACAACGCTCGCAAGCATTCTTGTTTAACATTCGATAAACAATAGGGAAATACTTCCATGAGCGTTATGAGCGTCAAATAGAACGCATTCCTAGTCTGAATCCTCATACAGATATCGGCGTTTCGACCGAGTACTGATTGATGAAAAACAGATTATAGGAATAAAATTTACCCCCATTACCTATTTTTCACTAATCATGCTCGGTGTCAAAGTGCCGATATCTGCATGAGAATCCGAGCTTACTCGTATATGCAGTGATAAATCGATAGTGGTAATCGAATCTTAATAACTATAATATATAACTCACACACACGGCCTGCCAATTGCCAATGGTTATTTATTAGGCCGTTCACGAACAACGTTAATCTATTGTCAAGTAAGATTGTATAAGTGGCAAATATGGGCTGCTTATACTGACCCAAACTAATTTTCTAGTTTTTGATCAGGATTTACTCATTTAGCAATTTCATTTTTATTAGAACTTGTTTCATATTTTACTTCATACCATATCTATATTAAGTTTCATGACGATTTTGTACCATAAAGTTTTTCCAACTTTGTATATACTTTTTTGTTATTATTTTATTATTATTAAAATTAGAACACGATAACGCCTTAATTTTCGGAAATCGAATTTAGAATTTAATTTTCTTATTTGTAGATCTCTTGATTAAAAATTCGAATATTATAAAAGTTAATATTTTTATGTATTAAAAAAAATTAACGAATTACTTTAAAAATAGTTTTCGAAAAGTTTTTTTTTTGTAACAATATATATTATTTTTCTTCAATACTTATTGTTAGTAAAAAATTAACATGCGTATGTAAAAAAATGCTTAACTAAATTACTTTAATAAAAAGTATTTAAAAATGAAAATCGCTTCAAGGAAACTTTTGTCGGAAAATTTTAAAAAATTCGTAAAAAAACTACAATATATAGATGTACCTCGTGTTTTAGTTTGTACTCTTCTACGAATCTAATTATCTACTCAGCTTGTCTGACAAACAAATAATGTTTGTGAGCGTTATGACGTCAAATGGAGCCTTACTCGTAAGCGTAGTGATGAATCGACGGTGGTAACCGAAGATTATCACATTCGCACGTTTGAAATACCTAAACGATATTCAGCTTGACTCTCTCAAGTTGCATCACAGAAGAAATGTTGTATGTTTTCCTTAGCGCAATCGTTGACTTCCTTCAATAAACACTTTGACTTACAAATGACGGGTTATCAAAATCAGATCAAATGCGTCCAAGGACCATGGCCAGCAATGCCATGCGTACGTAGACTCCGTTTTCCGCCTGCCGAAAGTAAGCTGCCCGTGGATCAGTATCAAATTCTTTACTTATTTCGAAAACACGTGGTAGAGGGTGCATCACTGCCATCTTTCTCTTCGCACGAGACATCAGCTGCGGAGTTATTATGAAGAATCCGCACATCTGTTGTACATGTAATGAGTTTTTTAAAACTTAAATTAATGTGTCAAAATTAATTTAAAAACAAATATTGAATAAGTAAAAGCGTAATTCGAAATAAAATGATATTTAGTTTTAAACATCTATGAAACGCCTGGACATACGTTGG